TCTAAATGATGAAATTTTGACATAATTATTTGAAAAAAAATGTTGCTATGAAAATAAGGTACTAATAAGAAAAATGGTGATATAAATACAAGGGCGTTAGAAATAGCAATGTACCAGAAAATCTGCTCTTATCAGTAACATGGGATATATTTTGAACAAAATTATATCACTATCTATATTAGTTTTATCAACAAGATCACTTACATACGTTAGAAAAAGAGGCAATCTCAAATAACAAATCTGAGACATTTTAAAACATATAATCAAGACAGAGAGACATTTTTAAAAACTAAGCTGTCAAGTTTTTTCCTAAATAAACTTGATAGAACACATATAATCAAGAAATTTATAGTAGTTTATGTATACCTGATGAGGTGGAGCGGAGGAGTGGGTAACTGGAGAAGAGGATCTAGTAGCCAATTGAAGATTCATTCTATTAGGGAAGACGATTGATGACGACGAGATCAATGAAACTGAAATCATGAATGAATTTTAGTGTGGGGAGAGAGAGAGAGAGAGATTGAGAGAGAGAGAGAGAAAGATAGAGAGAGAGAGAGAGAGAGTTAATGATTTCATTATAGCTTTCAGTTTTAGAGATTGTAGTTGATACGATCGACGTAAACTTTTGTCGTTTGGAATAAACACAGGAGATCATGAGTTTGACCACGAGAATAACTAAGATCTGATTGCTACAAACTTTTGCAGATCGTTTGATTCTTGTGAACTTCAATTTCTAGAACTACCAAACAAATCCATAACTTGTCCACCCTTGGGTTTGATGCAACAGATTCCAGTAAGTAAAGAACGAATGATTTTTGAATAGAGCTTCTCTAAATAGAGAAGACAATGACGATAAATTCGCTGGAGGCGAGTCGTTGGACGATGATGGCAGATCATGTCTTGAGACAAGGTGTGAGAAGATGAAAAAGGAGATTACAAGTTTAGGTTAGTTTGATGTAATTCAGGGAATAACTAAGATCTGATTACTACAAACTGAAGAAGAGGATCTAGTAGCCAATTGAAGATTCATTCTATTAGGGAGGATGATTAATGACGACGAGATCAATGAAACTGAAATCATGAATGAGTTTTAGTGGGGATAGAGAGAGAGAGAGAGAGAGAGAGAGAGAGAGAGTTAATGATTTCATTATAGCTTTCCAGTTTTAGAGATTGTAGTTGATACGATCGATGTAAACTTTTGTCGTTTGGAATAAACACAGGAGATCATGAGTTTGACCTCGAGAATAACTAAGATCTGATTACTACAAACTTTTGCAGATCGTTTGATTCTTGTGAACTTCAATTTCTAGAACTACCAAACAAATCCATAACTCGTCCTCCCTCGGGTTTGCTGCAACAGATTCCAGTAACTAAAGAACGAAGGATTTTTGAATAGAGCTTCTCCAAATAGAGAAGACAATGACGATAAATACGCTGGAGGCGAGTCGTTGGACGATGATGGCAGATCATGTCTTGAGACAGGGTGTGAGAAGACGAAAAAGGAGATTACAAGTTTAGGTTAGTTTGATGTAATTCAAGGATTAATCTAAGGGTTTAGGTCATTTTTGGTCACTTAACTTTTGGTTTTGTACTCATTTGGTCACTTCACTATTTTTAAGTTTTAAAAGGTCATCAAACTTTTGATTTTGTGATCATTTAGTCACTTAACTTTTGGTTTGGTCACATTTAGTCACCTAACTTTTAGATTTGTACTCATTTAATCACCTAACTTTTAAAATTGTGCTCATTTAGTCACTAAACTTTTAAAAAAAATTAAAAGTTTAGTGACTAAATGAACACAATTTTAAAAGTTAGGTAACTAAATGTGACAAAACAAAATTTAAGTGACTAAATGAGCACAAAGTCAAAAGTTCGATGACATTTTAAAACTTAAAAGGAGTTAAGTGACCAGATGAACACAAAACCAAAAGTTAAGTGATCAAAAAATAACCTAAACCCTTAATCTAATTAAAGGGATATGAATTATGTTGTTCCTAAAATTTCCCTTGTGTCATTTTATAAACATACCCCCACTCTTTTTCTTCTATTATTTACAAAAATATCACAAGACATTTGACTGTCTATTATTTTGATATGACCATCCTAATTTAATTATCGGGTTCTCATGAATTTATAGGTTTTCAAATGATCATATGTGTGTGTATATATATATATATATATATATATATATATATATATATATATATATATATATATATATAGTCAAGATCAAATAAGAAGGAAATTTTTGGTAGGAAGGTAATAAGTTTTTTTTCTACATATTTTTTTCGCGAACAAACAAAATGAATCATTGATGATTCATTTGCAAGATGATTCACAAGAAAAAATTCTCAAAAAAACATCTAGATGATTCATTTATATAATGATTTTGTTGTTATTCACTAAAATTGTCATAAAAGTGAATTTTTTCTTAATTTACTTAAAAATGAATCATTAAGATGTTTTTTTGAGAGTTTTTTCTTGTGAATTATCTTAAAAATGAATCATCTAGTGATTCATTTTTTTTGTTTGTCAAAAAACTATGTAGAAAAAAAAACTTCTTACCTTCTTACCAAAAAAAATTTCTTACCGGATCCACATATATATATATATATATATATATATATATATATATATATATATATATATATATATATATATACATACATACATATATATATATATATATATATATATATATATATACTAGTGGGGTACCCGCACGATGCGGCGACAGCTATTTTTCCTTTCGACAAAAAGATTCTAGGCATCGATTAGTTCTTGTTAGGTGAAAAGTTATCTCAGTGAGGTGGTGCGACTATAATCGTATATGATAATAAATGAAAACCAGCATGTTACTATTTTAATATATATATATATATATATATATATATATATATATATATATATATATATATATATATATCGATAAGGTTTATACAAAATTTGATTTTATATATCACGTAAAACTTCTTGATACACCACATTTGATGTGTAAATTCCTCTCCCCTGAAATTCTTTTGTAGGTTTCACTAAGACCTTTGTATTCTCACGAGATATCGCTCTGGAAAGTGCCACATAAAGTTGCCCATGCGAGAATACTGACTCTGGTAGATAAACACCAACGTTTGGAATTGTTTGGCCTTGAGCTTTATTGATTGTCATAGCAAAGCTAAGCCGAATTGGAAACTGTTTTCTTTTCAATTTGAATGGAAACATGTCATCATCGGATGGACAAAGAGGGATTCTTGGTAAAAAAAACTCGTTTTCCGGCATGAAGGCCAACCGCTATTTCCGCATCGATCACGTTCATCTGAAAACCTCTGCATATCAATCTTGTGCCGTTACATAAACCATTCGAACGATCAATATTCCTTAGCAGTATTATAGGGCATCCAGTTTTGAGTCGAAGGTAATGAGGAGGTAAACCACTGATATTGATAGAGTTTAAGAATTCCATCGGATAGAAATTGTTCTTATCATCTTCTGCCTCATCAAAACTATAGTAAATCCTCTCCTCTCCACAGAACCTATCAATCAGTTGATCATTAATTTCATCAACACTTTCATTTTTTGTTGATAGTATCGCCCTGGAAATAATATACTCTGAAGAGCCTCCATTGATGTGCAAAAAAGGAAAGATTGCATTAATCAACTCATCTTTTGATTTGTCTTGGTCGGTGTAAGGAATGCACATATCATCAGGTATTCGGACAAAACTTTCATCGATGGTTTCTTCATCTCCGTTGCCAATTCGTATCAAAAAATCTGAAAACCATGGATCGGCCAGTGCTCTCATATTTATAGTTAAACGTATTTTTTTAATCAAAGACCAAAGAGGTGACATCCTCAAACTGGCGTCTACAATTTGTGCTCTAGTACCACGTCTGATTACTGGTAACACCTGCCTAAAATCGCCTCCCAAGATCATTATCTTTCCACCAAAAGGGAGGTTCACCTTTGTAATGTCTTGCATCGTTCGATCCACCGCCTCTACTACTTGCCTATTCGCCATTGATGCTTCATCCCATATGATTATTTTGGCCAAACGAAGTAGTTGTGCAACCCCACTTTGCTGATTGATTTTGCACATTGAGTTATTATCAAGATTTATCGGAATCTTAAACCGCGAGTGAGATGTTCTCCCCCAGGCATATTATTAGCCGCAGCACCGGATGAAGCTGTCGCAAGTGCAATATGACCATGGGAACGAACCTCGACAAGTAAGGCTTTGTACAAAAATGTTTTCCCAGTTCCACCAGGACCATCTATAAAAAACACACCCGGACGATTCTGATTAACGTGGGTCATGATCTCATCATATGCATTTTTTTGGTCGGTATTGAGAGAATCTTTTGCACGAAGGTGTTCATCATCCACAACGATGGAGTACTCCTCTTGGACCTCATGATAAAATCCAGATTCCAAATTGATGTTTGTATTTACCATAGGAAGATCAAACTCATTGAGATGCTTACCCATAGATTGCAAAATTATAGAGATATCCATAAGAACCATGGTTTGAACTCGCTCAACACTTTCACATTGTCGCATATAATCTTCAGAAAGTGAATTATAGTGGTCATCCCATAACTTGCGAACATCTCCGGGTTCGCAATAAATGAGTATTGTTGCAAATAACCTTCTAAGAGCACCTGGAAATTGATATAACGAAGCCTCCATAAGACATTGAGATAGGTTATCATCGGTCTCTATTAACCCTCTCTCAAGAGCAGCTTTACGAAATGTTGGATGTAACACGTTGTTCACCGTGTAAAGATCTTCAAAGCATGTTGGCCCTCTAACATGTGATAGAAGAACCCGTAGGTAGTATCTCTCTCCTTCGGCAGGGTTAGCAGAAACCAATTGGCCTCTCATTGCTCCTTTTTTCCTTTGCTTCCAACGACGTTTGGTTGAATTCCATGTAAAGTATCTTGGGAATTCTTTATATAGATATTGCCTCAGAATCTCATCCATTTTATTCATGTCAAAAAATGCAGTCAACATTGAACTCTTATCTTTCTCCCTGTCCACAATATCAATCATTGAATCATTATCTGAGAATCTAACCAATTGTTGGTTCGGGAGATGAAGATGCAAAGACATGACGAAAAGGTGGATTTGAGAAAGCGCAAAGCTAAAAATCCTCCATATTGCCTCAGGGGGTGAGACGTAACATGCATCTTGATATCTTTTAATCTCATTGATGATGGGTTCTGCTCCATCTTGATCAATGTGGACAACTTGTTTGTCATGTCCCTTGTAAACATATTTAAAAGCATATTTCACAGATTTTATGCTCGAGCAAACCTCGACATTCATGTGCCAATTGAACATCATTAACAGCTTCGGGTTATATGGTACCACCCATCTGTTATCAAGTGTATTTCCTCGTACGTTGACCTCTATCCCATTGTTTCTCCTCCTATATAACGGATATGAGTCTTCTCCTTGTGTCGTCGCTTCATTAAATTGTCTAGGATATCTCCACCGACATTGTTTTGGCTCTCCTTGCATACATGGACTGGTTTCTCATAAATAACCACAAGGACCGTGCATCATGTGCTTCACAACAATTTCGTGCATTTTGGGATACTTTTTCGGATCGGGAAGTTCAGCACACACCATTTTGTCATAATGGCCAGCATTTGTCATCTTGTGTTCTGGTCTCATTATCAAGAGGAAATGTGCATGTGGCAAACCACGCTTTTGAAACGCCACCACATAAACATATGCTCAAACCACACCCAGGATATGATGCTTTAGAAGTTGGTCCTTTAGATCCTCTAATTTTGCACGAAACACTCTTGATACAAGGTCTGGTCGATCTTGTGCACTTTGCCCGGGTTTCAAATCATCAACAATTTATGGCTAGTTTGGATTGCATGTTACTGTAAGGAATATATCAGGCTTTCCGTCATCTTGAACTAACGTCATTGCATCTAGGAACCTTCATCGCATGTCACGTGGTCCACCGATGAAAGATGCAGGTAAGACTATCCGTTGGCCGACTCTACTTGGTTCAACTTCACCGGCATTGACACAATCAACAATTCCTTGGTAAAGGTCAGATCTTATCTTTTTTTGGTTTAGCTTACAAAAAAGCAAGCGTGAAGTCTCGATCTTTATGTAGATATCTACCACAAATTGTTGTAGCAATCTTCTTCCCAATAGAATTAAATTTTTAGATGAGCGAATCTGGAATTTGTAACAGTAGTACTCACGCATTGTTACGGTATTCCTACCCTTCTTTGACTTAGCCCCTGCATAAGGGTAATGTTAGAAACTTGTAAATTTTGTATTTATGTATATTTTTACCGAAATCATTGATTTTCATATTTCAAAAATGTATGTACCTTCTATATCATCCACAATATTTTCTTCATTACCCACAGCTTCATTGATGGACACCCCATCCCTTGCTATTTTTGCATGCCAACCAGACTCACCATTAGGAAAGAATAATGGATAAGACAAAGGATCATAACAACCTTCGTAAGGTTGAATTTGTGTACTATATTCAGATCTCCCATATACAACAATGCTTCTTTTATATGTTGTTATGTTGTCATTACCTTCTACCCAAATACCAGCAACCTATATAATTTGTGATTTTAGTATGGTGAATATGTAATATGATAACTGATATCACTTAAAATTAAGAGAAATAATTATTATATCCAAACCTCAGATGTGGTCGGCCGATTGTATACCCTCTGGTCAAGTTCCACTGATGCGTTCAAAGTAACTCTATAGTTATCGAGAGGTCCTAGCTCACGAAGGCTTCGAAACGTTGTAGCATACGGGTTTGTTGAAAGAATGCCCACCAACACTTGAATGATCTTTCGATCAATATTTGGCCATTGAAGTCTATGTGTAAAATCGGTTTCAGAATCATAGAAATATAATTGTAAGTACCTAGGTAATCCATCCCTCGGTACTAACTGATCAATTCTATGATATATTGCTCCGTTCGCACGAAATGTATATACTCCGGATTTCATATTGCTCAAATCATCATCCAACTCTACTCCCATGGATGTGAAAGAAAATTTTGTATTGTAAGCACGTATATTATCTCTAAATATTTTGCTTAACTCCTCTTCTGATGTAAAAAGACGATATAACTCATCAGGAATTTGGGAAGATGCCAACTTTGTTTTCCCACTCATGCAACAAAAAGTAGCGAATTCATGTTTGAACCATTTGGCTCCACAATGAACACATATATTACTTCCTTCCAAAATAGAATGTACTTCAGGGATACTATCGAAAATAGAATGGTATGGATCCTCAAGAAGAATGTCATCTGGAATTACTTGATTGACATGGACTTCGCTAGAACCTCCAACTTCTATAATATATGAAAACACAACTCTTTTAAATTAAAGATAAAAAATGTAATTGTTCATTTTAAATAATGATGGTTTATACTAAAATTTGCTGTAGAATTAATTTAGGACTAACCATCTAATGTTTCGTGTGTTAACCCCGAATATATTTGGTTGTTTTCTTCAGCACATATAACATGATGTTTGTGAATGACCTCTGCAGTAGCAAATATACTTTCATTGTTTTTTTGTTGGTGATCACTTTCAAGCATTCTCCTTTTTTCTTTGTTGCGTTCATAATACTTTTTGTTAGTATCTTTCCTATTTTGAGCAGCTTTATCCTTACTACGCGGCATAATATTTTCTTTGTCTTTGGCTCGAGTACCATGTGAGGTTGAATGGTTATTTGCGGATAGCATTATTCCACCACTACATTGGTTTTCCAAGTTTTGTAATGGTACCTTTTCTAATTGTTGTTTGCTCTTAATTCGTACATAATATTCGCGATTAGCTTTTTTTCGTTTTTCTGCACTACTTTGGGGTTCCTCGCAAATAAAAACCTTTTGCTTTTTGTTTTGCGTAAATCGTGTTTTCCAATATTCTTTGTTGTATCGTTTTCTTCTTTCTGCAATAATATTAATAATACAATCCTTTTTCTTATAAGTTTTTTAGTTCAAATTAAGAAAAAACAATATATGATTATCATTAATATATTATGCATACCTTTTTCAATATCTAAAGAAATTTGCGTCAAATCTCCATTTTCATTTTCACTATCTTGGATCCTCATTTCACACTATAAGTTTATAAAACATAAATAAAAAGAATATTATATCTACTAACTCAATACATAAATTTGTTCAATACTTGAATAATATAGATCAAAGATAATAAATTGCAACATAATAGATATATTAAGGTTACAACAACAAAATACCAATAGCCAATATTCTTACATAAGCAAACCACCAACAAACGTTCTTAAGTTGTTTATTTTTAAAATTGAAATACATAATTATATCATCCATAAATCGCCCTAATAGCATTTGCTTCTGCCATAACCGGTTCAAATGCAACCCTCGAAATGGATGTAGAATCCAAAAAGTTCACTGAAATTAATTTTTATACATTAATACTTCATATGGATAATAAAAATAATTAATTTGTTAAATGATTTTAACTGAAAAGTTTATACTTACTCCCCCCTCGGCTTCGATATTTAACACGAGATACATATATGATCCATTTCTCTTGAATTGATCGTGCGAGTTTAAAAGGTAAGGCTTTAGGACCATCATTCAAAATCAACTGAATTACATAGCCACTATAATAATTTGAAATATTAATTTTAATAGTACTTATAATTAAAATCTTAATAATAATAATGATAATAATAATATAAAAACTTACGATTGATCTTGAAGAAGTAAATCAATCGCACAATCATGGTGTAAAAGACGTCCATCAATAACTTTGCCAACAACATCTAAACCACCATTTAAGTAAAACAAATTTTAGTTATTTTTAAAAAAATGAGTTAAATATTATATTGTAATAACTATTTAAGAATTACCGATCAGATTTCGTTGACGTGGATTTCTCATCAGATATTCAATAGACTCAACCAATGGATAAGTCGGAAAATGATTTTCAATGACCGGCTCAAGTAGAGTAAATCGTGTAGCTTCGTTGACAATTATGACATATTGATCATCAACAAAGTTGTATCCTTCATACTTGGGGAAGTCATCGGGAGTGGAATTGAGTTTAAAATGATTTATAGAATATAAGCGGTCTTGCATACCTCTTTCTAGGTATCTTGCTATTAAAGAGCTAGGTACAACTACCACCATTTTTTTCTCTCTAGTTAATAAAAAATTTGTTAAAAAATAGTAATAGAAAAACTAAAAAAAAATTTAAAAAATAGTAATAGAAAAACTCTTTATATGGTAAAATTAAGCATTATATATTTGGAACTTACATTTTGGTCAAGTACAAGCATAATTAGTTTGCTTTCCCTTGTATCCACCCAAACAAAATCAATCCGAACGCAAGCGAAATTATACCATGCATATGGACTATTGAGTAACCGAAAAGAGTTAACATTGAAATACATATCCATTTTCTACAAAATTTAAAATAAAATGTAAAAGTTAAATAATTGATAACAATATTATTAATTTAAATATTAAAAAGATTCATAATGTTCATAACAATAAATATTGTATCTATAATTATTAAAATAAACAATAGAAAATACAAATAAAAAAAAATATTTCAGACTTTCATTTACAATATTAATTTAAATATTAAAAATATTAAAAATGTTCATAACAATAAATATTGTATTTATAATTATTAAAATAAACAACAGAAAATATAGATATATAATATTTTAGACTTTCATTTACAATGTTAAAAGTTTTGACAAACCTAATTTGATATCATAAATGCTACAAAATTTTATTCTTCATTATATTTTAATAACAACATATTAAACTAAAACCAATAAAAATAATAATTATTCATATAATATATTTCTATAAATATTATACTATTAATATCTCTTTTTCTTATATTTGGTCTTGTATAAATTTTCATCCACTTTTATATCCAAATCTTTAAACGGTTTATTCTTATATTTTAAATGATTTACATTTGTTATAATAAATAAATATAAAAGAAATTATATAGAGTATAACATGTAACAAAAAAAGATAATGATATGTAAACAAAATAAAACATGTAAATAAATGAAACTACATAGTATTATCAAGTTTTACACGTAGGAATAACTAATACTATATTAAAATATAATAAAGTAAAATATATAGCAAAAAAGGATAATGATATTTAAACAAGATGAATAATGCAAATTGAAAGACTTCCAATTTACCTCTATTTTGGTCACAAGTCAAAAGTAAGCACCGCCCTGTATCATAGACATGATTAAAACAAAAATAAGTTGTTAAAAACCAAATCAAATCTAAACAAAATTGTACATGTTACTCTAAAGTATATACTAAAAACTTGTTGCTAGGTAAATGAAAAAAAAAACAATACACATCACTTTATATTAAAAGTAGAAACTAATCAAATTTAAACAAAATTGTAAATGTTACTCTAAAGCATACACTAAAAAAATTTGTTGCTAAGTAAATAAAAAAAAAATCAAAACACATCACTCATTTAAAAATAATTATTGCGATTTAATTTTTGTATATCAAAATACAGCAGAAAGAAAAGGAAGCATACCTTTTTTCTAAAACTCAAGCTTCTACAATTTGTTTATCAACCAATGAGCATATTTATATTGGTTTTCCTTTTGGAATCTTTTGCTAGTACTGATTTTGAACAGTTTTTTTTGTCTATTAAACAGTTTTTTTACAGTCTATAAATTGCTGTTTTCTGACAAATAAATAGTATTTTAGACAGTCTGAAAAATACTATTTATGACCACCTATTTACCTACTAATTTACTGTTTTTGACATTGATTTTCCCTACTTTTCACAGTCAACACTACTGTTACTTTTCACAGTCAACAATACTATGCAACCAACAATACTATTACTGACAATATTTGTACCTAACAAAATATTTTACAATCAGAAAATTATTTTTTTTCACATGCAATCAATTTGTGTTTAAAGAAAAACGAAATTCCTTTATTTGTTTTATTTTATTCGTTATTATAAATTCCCACTTTCACAAACACAGAATCTAAAAAATGTACCTTAACATTTATGATATGCATTAATTTTTTTATTCTATTCTTGAATAATAATAAAGCATCCAACTTTAACATAACACATTCAAAAACATATAGAATATAGATAAATTTAGAATGTTATGACAATAAAAAGTGAGAAAATATGATATTGTTATACAAAACTTGTATGATCAATATTTACAATGCAAGAAATAGCATCATAATTTCAATTTTTTGTTATATTATAATTGAATCAATTAAAATAAGATGATATTTCTTATTCCTTACAAGGAAGCACAAGAAATATCATTGTACTTCAATGCCGACATAATCAAGAATAGCAACTTATTTTCGTAAGAAGGAAAAGCATAAAAAAAAAATAGGATCCCATAATATAGAAATCTTTGAAAGTATGATGTTATTTCCTCCTTTGTAATTTAAAAATTGGGAAATAACAAGGTACTTTCACGATTTCTTTATCATTTAACCTTACTTTAACATACATACATACAATTACACACTTATGAACGGATTACATAATAGAAAAAATATCATATTTCTACCCCTACTAATTTTGAAGGTTGTCCAAACACATCAAAAACTTGTGCTTAGCAAAAAAAAAAGGTAAAATATAAGTCATCATAAAACAATATTTACCAAATAGATGTAGATTCAAAAATATTTACCAAACAAGTGTAGTTTTAAAATTTTATATTTTTAAACTTTCATTTTATTTTTACTTATTTTCTTTAAAATATTTTTTGACCTCTCTTTTAATAAAAAAATTGCTATTTTTATCATTTTTTTTATAAACCCATTTCTTAAAATAATTTGGTAACGTAAAACAAAGATTGTGTCACTACATTTAACTTTAAAATTTGCCAAATTACCATACCGTTATAGTATGTTAATCTATTTTCACATAAAAATTAATATCAAAAAGTTTTAAAAAGGTCAAAAGAAAAATATTAAAATATATGAAAATAGAATAAAAGCCTGAAAGTTTTAGAAAAAATATAAACTTTGAAACTATACTTATTTGATAAATATTTTTAAAACTACACCTATTTGGTAAATAAAATTTTAAAACAAAATATAATCATATATATTTAAATAAAAGTATAATGCAATTTCTAAGGCTAAAAAAGTTTCATAAACATTTGATTTAATTAAAACTTTAAATTCTATAATGATATCATATAGAAAAAAACCTCAGCAAATATATAAAGAGTTTAGAAAAATATCAACTACCTTCAATAAGTATTTATTAAACAATTAATCATATCCTTTCATCAAATCTGAAAAAAAAAAACATAAACTATGAGTTAACTATGAATATATATAACATGAAAGTTTAATTGAAGTTAAATAAACACCAATAATTATACCTAAATAACATAAAAGTTAGTTGGTGCAAATCTGATAGCATTCCTTCTTCATCTACTTGCATTTCATAGAATTTTTATGTGTAAATAGATAGAAAACAAAAATGCTAAAATGGTTCGTTCAACAACTAAAAAAGCAATAGAAATATAACCTGGTAATATTCTAAAACACAAAGTAAAATCAGAGTTTCATTCAACATCCACGGGATGCACCATTCCAATTTTTTTGACTTGAAAAAAAAAATGATTTTTGTGGCTAATGGAGTTTGTTCATTATTATGGAGAAGACGAAAACTGAAAAATCAAACCAAGTTAGAAACAAAAACAAACCTTTCTCCTGTTTGTACTGCACGATCGAAAACCTCAAGATTGTGAACCCTAGCACATGGAATCGCAAACAACACCAAAATCAATTAAACTCCATCAAAAAATTATAACTAAAAATAAAGATTAGAAAATACAAAAAATTATAATTTGAACTTTTATATTATGTTACTGTTGAACTGCAATCTTATTTTTGTATACTTAAACTCCATCAAAAGTTTGAAATATAAAGAGAACGATACAAATAAATGAAGTTATAAAAATTTTGGTATAAAATATGGTTAATGCCATAAAAGCCATTATATTTACGTCTTCATTCCGTTTTAGCCTTAAGTTTTATTTTTGATCTATAAAAACCATCATTTTTCATATTTTTTTCAAATTTCGGCTTTTAGCAGGTTGCCACCCGGTTGACTGACTTTTAGCTGTGATGTGTCGGTTTTGTTTTGACTGTTTTGTTGACTTTTATACTGTTCAGGTAAAAAAGAGGAACAAGCCAGGCTCGGATGAGGGAGGCAGGTCCTTCTTTATTGTAGGAAAGAAGCCTACCGCTACCACAAAGATATGAATGCATTTTTAATTTCCCTTACTGACTATATCTACATAATTTAACTCAACGATTTTATAAAATAATACACGTAAAATACGTTTTTATGTGTATTTTCACATACTAATATGTATATTTATATGTATTATTATGAAAAAACGGTGTTTTTGAATTCTAATTTATTTTTATATGTATTTATATATACAAAATATACTTTTATATATAAAAAAATACACATAAAATACATTTTTATGTATATTGCCGCTGAACCATTAGGAATTTTATTGTTATAATCCCTTCGGCCCACATATAATACAAAAATTCTTTTTTAATTTCCATTATATGTAAAATAACATATTTTTATTAACTGATATGTATATAAAGCATATATATTTTATATGCATAAAAATATATGTTACCACTCAACCATTAAAGAGTTTGTGTTCTTCTTTACCAAATTTGTATATAACCACCGAGCGATTTTAAACATGCAAAAATAAGGAATAAAAACTGAAGTCTTCTACCTACAAGGTTTAAATCGTTTCCAGTGAAGTAGAACGGTGGAATCGTTTCCAGTGAAGTAGAACGGTAGAACCAATATTGACGATTTCTTCTAATCCGTTTTATTTATTTTAAATGATGAAGATAGGTTAATAATATATATTAATGTATCTACATGTATTTATACATATAAAACTATATTTATATGTATAACAAATACATATAAGTGTTTAATCCGGATAAATTTGGATTTTTCTGTATAATATGTATCCAGACATACATATAATATTTGTATTTTTTTTCCTATATATAAAACATAAACATGTGTATAAGTAAGTATTTGATGTTTTGAAAGCATCTTTATATTTTATAAGCTCTATTATATATAAATTTACAAAATACATATTTATACATATAAAACCTTTTTTGAAATACATAAATACATTTAAAAAAATAAAATTTTAGGGACATAATACATATTTATCTGAAAAACTCTTGAATACATATAAAATGTATTATATATAGAAATAAAACATATTTTAAAAACTTTTAATAATAACGTATAATACAAATTCGATAAATACATAAAATACGTTTCTGTAATACATGTCAAAGACATGAAAATATGTTTTTATACTTTAACTATGTGAATATATGTGTTGTATTGGTTAAATATATATAAAAATGAAATACTAAGCAAGGTGTGCAATGCTTTAGCTGGTTAACACATGAAATCGAAACATGCAATGCTTTAGCTGATAAATACATAAAATACGTTTTTTGTAATACATGTCAACCCTAACACATGAAATCGAAACAAACAAGCAAAATCGGTTAGCACAGGACAAACCGTAAGGGATTTTGGCGATTTTTTTGTGGGTAATTATGGAGAACAAAGCCCAAAAACCGAAACAAGTTGTAAAAAACGAACCTTTCAAACATTTGTGCAGCAAAATCTTCGAAAACCTTGGGATTGTATCAACCCTAACACATGAAATCGAAACAAACAAGCAAAATCGGTTAGCACAGGACAAACCGTAGCGTATTTTCGCGATTTTTTTGTAGCTAATGTCGTTCGTTCAAAATTCTGGAGAAGAATACTCAAAAACCAAACCAAGTAATCAAAAAAACGAACCTTTCAATCTTTTCTTCCACACGATCTTCAAAAACTTCGAGATTGTATAAACCCTAGCCCGTCAAATCGAAACAAAAAACCAAGGATCCGTGTAATGGCGACTGCATTAAGAGAGATTTAGAAGCCGAATCGATTAAGAGAGGAGAAGAATACTCAAAAACCAAACCAAGTAATCAAAAAAACGAACCTTTCAATCTTTCGTTCCACACGATCTTCAAAAACTTCGAGATTGTATAAACCCTAGCTCGTGAAATCGAAACAAAAAACCAAGGATCCGTGTAATGGCGACTGCATTAAGAGAGATTTAGAAGGCGAATCGATTAAGAGAGGAGGAGGAGAGATCCGTGTAATGGCGACTGGATCATGTAGATTAAGAGAGGAGGAGGAGAGATCCGTGTAATGGCGAATAGATTAAGAGAGGAGGAGGAGAGATTTTTGGAAACGGCGGAATGAGAGAATGGGAAAGGTCCATACAATTTGATGAATGGATTAGAGGGATCCGTGTTTTTGTTTTTGTGGTATCCTATTGGTTCAAACAATTTCATACGGATTACAAATATCAAATAATCATGATCCTTCATTTTAGATCCAAAGGTCTATAATTGATCTCCTTGATTTTTAAGATAAATATCTTAAATTATAGAGGGCCCACAAAGATAAACCTTTTATAAAATGGTATATATATATATATATATATATATATATATATATATATATATATATATATATATATATATATATATATATATATATATATATATATATATATATATATATCAAACGAAGCTTCTCGGGATGGGACACAAAAGATGCCATTTGACTCTCATAAGTCATAACTCCTGCTGGCAATGACACATATAGTTGTCATTTACTGAAGGATGGACGACATTGAATAATCTTTTTTTTTCAATAATTGAAAATAAAATATAAATATACGTGCTCCTCACAACACCGAGAAGAACTAGATTATATAGGCATTGAATTCAGTTCTCATCAATTCAATTATTTCGATTACAATGGAGAAAACACATCACATAGCCATTCTTCCTAGTCCAGGAATGGGTCACCTTATTCCAATGGCAGAATTCGCTAATCGACTTGTCAAACACCACCCCATCTCGGTCACTATCATCATCCCTACTACCGGAACTCCTCCCAAAGCTCAAATATCCGTCCTTGAATCCTTACCTGAAAACATACACCACCTGTTTCTTCCATCTGTAAACATTGAGGGCTTACCGGAGGGTACCCGGCCTGAGCTTCAAATTTCGTTCATCATGCAATCGAGTCTTTCAAGTCTCCGAGATGCTTTAATTTCTTTAAAATCAAGAAACAACTTGGTAGCTCTAGTGTTTGACATGTTTGGACATGATTCAATGGAAGTTGCAAAAGAGCTTTCCCTTCTTAACTTCCTGTTCTTTCCAATGAATTCCATGGCTTTGTCCTTCACTTTTATATTGCCAAAGCTCGATGAAGAAACATCTTGCGAGTATAAAGAGCTACCTGAGCCAGTTAAAGTACCGGGCTCTATAACTTTTCCCGGGCATGAGCTCATGGCTCCAGTTCAAATCCGAACCGATGAAGTCTACAAAGGATATCTTTTGCTTTCCAAGCGATTGACTTTGCTTGATGGCATCTTGGTGAATAGTTTCGAGGAGTTAGAAGAAGAAACCTTTCGAGTTTTGCATACCGGAGTTGCTGGGCAAACACCCATTTACCCGATCGGACCATTGATTCAGTCAGCTCCAAGCAATGGGTCGAACCCGCATGACTGTATAAAGTGGTTGGATAATCAACCAGATGGATCTGTGGTGCTTGTGTCTTTTGGAAGCGGTGGGACACTTTCATTAGAACAGATTCATGAGCTAGCCCTTGGGTTAGAGACGAGTGGCCACAGGTTTTTATGGATAGTAAGAAGCCCTAATGAAAAGGCTTCGAATGCTTCCTTTTTTACTGCTTCTAGTCAGACTGACCCATTAGGGTTTTTACCAGAAGGGTTTCTGACTAGGACTGTAACACGAGGTTTAATTGTGCCATCATGGGCCCCACAAATTGAAATACTGAGTCACAAGGCAACCGGTGGGTTTTTGACTCATTGTGGTTGGAACTCAACTCTAGAAAGCATAGTTCATGGCGTTCCAATGATTGCTTGGCCTCTTTATGCGGAGCAACATATGAATGCTAAAATGATGACTGAAGCGCTTTGCTTGGCTTTAAGAGCTGAAACTGACGAGATTGGTATGGTTCGAAAAGAGGTGATCGAGAAAGTTGTGAAGGAGCTAATGGAGGGATACGAAGGAAAGAAGATATCTCAAAGAATGAATGAACTAAAGGTTGCTGCCAATAAAGCTCTAGTTAACGGTGGGTCCTCTATGGAGTCATTGTCGAAGTTTGCACAACAGTTGAAGAAATGAAAATTTATTTATTGTCTCAATTTGTTATGTGTATATGTGTAGCAGTTTATCTTGTATAGGCGCTTCTTAGCCTATATAGCTTTTGTGTAATAAGCCCATTGGCCTTACCTCATGTATATTCAAAGCATTGATCCGTTTCTCATGGGAAAATATACAAATTAATTTATCATAGAGTCATAGTTAGGAACGCTTTAAGACGTAATCTTTCTGTCCCAAAAGTATTGTTTAAAGACAACAAAAAAACACAATAAAAAAACGTTAATTATCATTAACTTTATTAAATTAAATAACAATTATACATTTTTGTTGTATTTAACTTTATGATAGTTGTATTTAATTTCATTGTAGTTTAATTAATATTGAATGATATTTTAGTAAAAATAATTTTTATTTTTAGAAATAGACAATTATTTTGGGATAAATAAAAAAAAACATGGATTATTAATTTGAGACGGATAAAATATTATTTATTTTAAAGAAATCTTATAAAAAATATCAATATTTTAAGTTAATTTATTGTTTAATTATAATATTTATTTTTTTAATAGAAAACTTATGATTATTTAATTTTATACGTTGAAGAAAATAAGGATTATTTTGTAAATTTGGACAAATATAAAATAAATAAAACTTTTTTGTTCAAAAAATAAATGTTAGGATTAAACCGTAAACTAAATCAAAATATAAAAATTTATCAAAGATTTCATTTTATTTTAATTTGTAAAATATGAACACTTTAATACATATTACTCATTTTAATTTGTAATATACTTATCATTTAAGTTTATATATGTGGAAAAATGCCGTTTGAATAATATTGTCCGGTTCTATTTTTTACGTTTTGTATAAATAAATATCATACCAAATCTAAAAACTTAGTTTTTATAAACATAAACAGATGGTTTTTCTTATTTTGAAGGAGCTCAATTTTTTTTTTCTTTTTTGTCTCGGATCTCATATTGGCTTGGACAGGCTCTGACCATCTCACTCCTTTAATCTTATGTGTCAGCTCTAGTTAACAAGGAAGCTATGAAAAAGCCTTCCGACCTCAGGAACATTGATACATACGTCTCACTTACTCTTGAACTTGATGAAATAAATTATGACGCATGTAAAAAGCTTTTCGAAGCATCTTGTGTATGCTTCGGGAGATCATCATCTTAACAAGTCTCTATAAGAAAACTGCTCTCTTGAAAGAAAAAACATGACTGTCATGTCAAGATATGGCTTTATGGGCCTTTTAACAAAAGACTACTTCAAATGATCTTAAAGAAACATGTGACGGATCATAGCGTATGGAAAAGCCTCGAAGACTTGTTTTGAGACAACAAATAACTCGTGCGCTGCAACTCGACCACAAACTTTGTTCAATTGAGATGAAATAGGGATATTTCGGTCTAGAAATATTGCTAAAAGATCAAGGTCCTCTCCGACTTTCTAGATAACAGTGACGAACGATAACGGAAAAGGATCTTGTCACTTACATGATAAATGGACTTGGTGATAAATTTGATCTTGTTATCCGGATCACTCGTCAATAATCTTCCATACCGACCTTTCTTCACTCTTGGTCTATGCTTTTTCTAGAAAAGACCTGACTCCATTGGACTAGGCCCCATGATTTCTTTCACCGTGATAACTCCTCGTTACCTACAACCCTTCACATGTCTTCCCATGATCAACACTGAAACAATGGCAATGGCCGTCAGATAAACTGACATAAAATAGGTGTCGTTAGTAGATGAATCACCGTTTCTAGTAATAGCCTTTGTCTGTTATCGCTTCGTTTTAAGTTGTCAGGATGTTGCATGTTGCATCTGATCGCCATCTCCAACAATAGCCACACATCATCAAAACGACAATGAAAGCAATAATAAAATAACTAGTTTATCTAGACCATTAAAAAAACCACCAATGATCCTTTTACATAGATTAGAATGATATTAAAACAACGATACAGTGTTTTAGAGTGACATCCTTTGGAGCCTTTGAACCCACTCGAAAGTGGGGTGTTGATGTAGATAGAAAGAACAAAGAGATTGATCTTCTCTACAAGTAATCCACCACCAATAGTAAGGCACAAGGAATGCTAGTTCACTTCTTGTATATTGAGCTTCTTAGCCTTTAAGTGCTTAACACATGTAAGAAGTAAAAGAGAAACACAAATGAGCACCAACACCAACCTACCATTCCTCTCATTATTTACGTCCTTAAGGTAAAAAAGAGAGTGACTTTTTTTTTTGGACTTTTCCACATTAATAACTAACATGTATGTTTAAGTTAAATGGTATCATACTAATACTAATTATTAAATATGTGCCAAGTTGATTATGGTGTGATCGTATATGATCATATGTTATTAACAATATCATTCAATAATGGTTCTTGAGCATTAGATCCAACAATCTTCCACTTGCTCAAGATTCATTATTGATTGATATAGACAACAGTTGGCGTCTAGCAATAGGCCATTGTCCTAACAACACACAAAGGGGTTCCCTCAATCACCATCCAAATCTATGAGCTCAAAGCTATAATTGATGTATAAGGTAAGTGTATTAATATTCTATTTGGTTTCAGACATCATGCTGGACATGAGGCATGGAAAATAATCATTCTTATTTTTCATCGAACTTTAAGTAAGGCACCTTAGATGTATAACTTTCAACACATAAGAGGAAAAATCCCATCTTGACTACAAACACACTCTTATATAGTACATGCTATCCCAACAATGGTTTTTACGCTTGCACGGTTACGAACAACTTTTGACCATGTTAAAACACAAAAATTCTTATACTTGAGTCCCTAATATATATATATATATATATATATATATATATATATCAGGTCGAAAGGCATAAATATATTTACCATAGTTCAAGATTCACTTATGATAACGATCTATGAAGTGATTCTTCAAGTAGGTTATATCTAATAGTTGTTCTCCAACAAGTATATATGAATTTGGATGGGATTCTTTGCTATTTCATCTCATGAAATTAACCAATCTGATTCTTATTAGTCTTAATTCATAGTTACTCCCACAATAGTGACTGACTCTGGATAATGTCGAATAAGTATAATTATTGAAGGATAAAAAACATGCTAACATTGAACATAATAATGTT